GCACCTGCAGCCAGGAGTCGTCCACGGGCGGCGGCATGGGCGTGCTGACAGTGGTCGTGTTGATGTCGCCGATGATGCTGAGCGCCTCCTTCAGTGCGTGGTACATGCGCAGCATCTCATCCCGCCGCTGAGCTTGCTCGGCTGACTCCTCCATCAGTGTGTTCTGGTCCCCGCACGAGTACAGGTTGGCCAGCAGCTCCGAGAAGATGAATTCCTTGGTCTGTGTGCAGGCAGGCGAAGAGAGGAGAGGGTCGGGACCTGACGCCTTCTCTGCCCGCCTCGTGGGGCCCTGCTATGACCGTGCCCTGGACTGGAGGTTTTGGGGTGGGGGTCTCTGCCTAAACTCTGAGATCTCCCCCCAGCCCTGGTCCCTTGCCCTTTTCACAGATGATCAAGAGAGGAAAAGTGCCCTGTTCAAGATCACAGATCTGGGAGGACACTCAGGGACCATCATGCATCTAGGAAAACCCTTAAGCAGCACTTTTCAGTCCCACTTTCCTCATCTGTAAAATGTGCTGGTTTAATCCTTTCCAAGGACTTTTATGCTCCACTGGACCAAAATAAGGAAGATAGTTTTAAATTTTCTGAGCCCTGGAGTAACAGGTATAAATGTGCTTGGATTGGGGGAGAGGTGAGTCTCCGTGTAGGGGAAGGGTACCTGCCTAGGCTCTGAGATATTCATGGAGAGATGCTGAGTTTTTTTACACCATAGGCCTGTGTCTTGTTATTCAACTATATGTTGAACAGCTCCTACATGCCAGGCACTGTGTTGCTATGCACTTTATATTAATTTACTCCTCAACTCTATTATTATCCATATTCTATATAATAAAAAGCTAATATGCAAATTGTCCTCTCCACCGGGAGTCCCACCAGGAGTTCGACCAGGGGGCGGGGCCGGCCAAACTCCCGCACCCGGGCCAGATCGGCCCCTACCCGTGCATGAATTCATGCACTGGGCCTCTAGTTTTACATATAAAGAAACAGGCTCAGAGAGGGTAGTTCAATTGCTCAAAGTCACACAGCAAATCTGTGGCAGGATTCAAACACAGTTCTAATTCTCCAGGGTCTATGCTTTTTCACTGAGCCACAGGTGGTGGTGGTTCTATAGAGTGTGTATTTCAAAACATGGTCTGGGTGTTCCTAAAAGATGCAGATTCCTAGCCCCTCCTGAAAAGCTTTCAAGCATGTTTGGAACAACTTAGGTATGTGAATCACATTATACGGTTTTCTACTAGATGGTTCTGGTGTGGACCTACCCTCCCTCCCAGGCCAACCTGGCTGCCCGCCTCCCTGGTCTCACAAGAGCACCCACCCCCCACGGGGGGTGGTGCACCCACATTGTTAATCATGAGGTGCATGATGGTCTTAGGCATAAGGTCGCGCACGGTCTTGTTGACGATGGCCATGTACGAGTCCACCAGGTTCCGGATGGTCTCCACCTGCCGCTCCAGCTGGGGGTCCATGGAGTGCATGAAGTTGTCTGAGCCATTCTCCTCCGTCTCGTTGGCCTACCATCGGGAACAGAGGGCATCAGGGTGGCTGGACCCTCAAAGCCAGGTTCCAGGCTCCCCAAGGTCTCAGCCCCTCCCTTCAAAGGTACCTGGAACACTGAGGCACAGAGAGAAGCAACTGGCCTGGACACATGGACACGAGCTCCCCCACATGCTCTGGATCTCTGGGCTCTGCCCATCCCAAAGCCCCTCAGGACCCCAGACCCTCGTTTAACCTTCTCCATCTGACTCTAGAGCTTAGAATTTGCCTCCGTTTCCCAGTCCATAAACTGGGAAAGGACATCTCTAAGGTCCCTTGGTGATTCTCAAGACCTGGCCAGAGGTCGTGCCAGGCTGGAGACACATGGCAGAAGGGGAGGGAGGGGCACACTCACTTTCTCCTTGTCCTGGGAGGCCCACACCAAAACCATAGAGGTCACCACACCAGCATTGCCACCGCCAGCGAGCACAGCCGAGACAGACACACAGAGGAAAGGGGGAAGGACTGATGAGCCCAGGGCACTGTACCCCAACTCTAAGGCAACTGGAGACACTGCCACAGTGAAAGAGGGGGGAAGGGAAGGCAGTCACAAGAAACCACTACCACGTGACAGGGTTGCAGGACTGTGTCCGAGGAGGGGACACACAAACCCGCTATTGGAGGAGGGCGGCAGGTAGCGGAGCGATGCCTGTTATGTTTCAGCTCAGCGAGGGCTCGGGAACATGGCGTCACTGAGGATGGGGCCCCAGACTCCCCATTATAAGCAGCTTGCCCCTCCCCTCCCCACCCTGCCCTGCCACTCACCCCAACACGCTCGGGGTACACGCCAGCCCTCAGGAAGGAGGCCTTCCAGCTATCCACCTCCTCCTGTGTCTCGCAGGCCAGTTCCAGCTGCCGATAATCTTTGTAGACATTCCTGCAAGACAGGGCGGGTGGTGAGGGGATGGGCGAGGCCCATTCACCCCGGCGGTTCGGGGCTTGCATGGGCTGGGGTCCTCACGCCTGGGGCCCAGTCCCGCTTCCTTGTTTCCCAGCTGGGTGACCCTGGGCAAGTCCCTTCCTCCCTCCAAGCCTCAGTTTCCTCATCTGGAAGGCAGGTGAACAATGCTTCCTGCCTCCTGGGGTAACGCGAGGGTTCAGTGAAATGAGCGCTGATATGTTCAGTTAGAAAGGGACCGAGCCTCCCTAAGGACATCAGTGACAGTGCAGTCCCTCCTGTGGGTCTCAGCCCCACTGGCCCCCTCTCCGACTCTCGGGACTCCCCGATGGCAGCTGAACTGAACCCTTGTCTCTGAGTAAGACAAAGCCCATTAGAATGAGCCCTGGGTTAGGAGGTGAGAGGCCGGGGCACTTACCAACATGAGAAGGCATGACTCGGGCTCCCTTTTGTCCCAGTGCCTAGCAGAGTGTCTTATGCAGAGCAGGCACTGACTGAGTGAGTGTGTGAGGACAGGGGGAGAGGGGGAGCGGAAGGGAGGAGGGGAGAGAGGAGGGGAGAGAGGAGGGAGTGGTGGGTGGGAAGATCTTGACAAAATGCCCAGCACAGAGTAGGGGCTCCATAAATATCTGTCAAATGAATGACTAGCTGTGGGGCTTGGGGCAGGTCCCTCTCCTTTTTGTATCTGTGGCCCCCGCTTCTCCTCAGTGGGGGTGGTTTGGGGCTTGCCGGGTCCGGGGCCCCGCAGCCCTGGGGGCGCAGGCAGGCACCTCTGCTCCGTGTTGAAGAGGGCGAAGATATGCTTGCTGGACATGAAGCCCTTCTCCACGTCCCGCAGCTTCAGGTTGTCCACGGACAGCATGTACTTCTTCTCTTTCTCCTGCGGGGAGAGCCAGGGGTGAGGTTGGCACCCTCTCTGCTACGCCTCACTCCCTGAGACAGCTCTACGCTGGGGGTGCCCTGGCTTCTGGCTCCAGCCCCCTCACACTGCACAGGTGCTGTCCGACCCAAGTGCCCTGGGCTTGCTGGCAGCCCTGCTCCTAATGGCATTCAAGCCATGCCCACCACCTCTGCATACCTGCCAGAGCCCAAGCGCCCAGGGTGGCAAGGCTGAGGGTGGCTCCCAAATCCCTCCCCAAGAAAGCCCTGGAGGCAGGCCAGGACCCACCCCCACCCCGGAGCCTCTTTCGCCCCGGCCTGGTTGCTGGGCCTGCTTTGGAAAAGCCTCTGACTTCATTTCCTGACTGTGGAGACAGGAAGGGGGGCCAGCAGCCCCTGGGCTTCAAAGGGCTGGCTCAGCCCCCTCCCCGCAGACGCCCATGTGTTAGCAATCAGCACACAGGGCGGGCTGGAGATGGCGAGTCTGTGTGCACACACATCTCCTCTCACCGCCGCGGGCGTGCCCGTGAGTCTGCGCTGCAGAGCTGTGTGACTGAGGAGGTGCCCAGCACAGCCGTGTGTCCATGTGAGCATGTGTGTGTGCCCGTGAGGGTGTGTGCACATTTACATAGATGTGTGTGGCAAGTGTCAGTGTCTATGTGTTGGCATGAACGTGACTGTAGGACACGGGTGTGCGTTCATGTGTTCCTGTGCGCACAGCTTGTGTAGCGGGCTGGACGTGCCTAGTTTATCTATAGTCGCCTGGGAGGAGTTACACGTATCCGTGGATGGGCATGTGAGTCCCAGGCCCACGTGCACACGTGTGTGAGTCTGGTGGGGGCCGCCATGTCTGGAGGATGCTGCGTTAAGGGGAGGGGCCCAGAGATTTCTGGATGGGGGACTCGGGGATGGGGCTCTGAGAGGAGCGGTCTCTGCTGTGTGTAATCCACTTGCCCACCCACCGCCGCAGGACCCACGCTGGGGAGGGGGAGGAGGTCTCTGTGGGTCTTGGGGACTCAGGACTTGGGCAGGGGCCTCAGCCACGATCTCAGGTGGGGGCTGGGATCAGGAGAACCTTGCTCCCTGTCCTGGCCTCATCCTGCCCACCTCGCTCTGCCCCTGCACCCGCCTGGCCTGTCCAGCCACATAAAGCCCTCTTTATGCCAGGCGAGTGGCCCGGCGGCCGGGAGCCCCAGAGGGCGGCTGGGGGAGGAGAGGAGGAAGTTGCACATGAGGCCAGGGAACATCTGGAAGCATTCGAGGGAGGCCCCGCCGCCACAGCCCTGAGCTCTGGGGTTGGACACTAGGCAGGAGTGGCCGCCTCCCCCCACCCCTCCCTT